ATTTAGCTATTGAGGTTTCACATGTGAAATTTTTCCAGCTTTGGGTAAAGTGGACTTTAGAGCGGGGAGGGGATCAAAATCTGAACGATCTCTTACTTACGGGACACTACGGATCTCGGGCCTAATACTAATAGCTGGTTTTTAATGAGAGGCTGGAGTCTGGACCTAGATGGTCAACGTGAGGATAGCTTGAGGATTTAGGATGTTATGCCTGCCTTTCATGGGGTTTTGTAACCCCGAAAGCTGGTATATCGCATCTCACTTAACCTTGGTTACATCCCGTGCATGTTTAATTCCTGTTTAATTTAATTCCTGTTTAATTCCCGTGCTGTTTCGAATATATAATTAGATTTAAAGGTCCAATATCAAGTAAAAAAGTCTGATCTCCGGTACTGATGTTACACTTACATGATTTCCGACGCGAGGATCTCCGAAGTCCGATCTTAAAGTTGGATCTCAGAGCCAAAAAGAGGAACCTAGGCCTTGGTTCCTCTCTTTGAGAGTCAAACAGGAAATTCGGTGTTATCAACTCAAACTCGGATTCGTAGCACAATTGAAAAACCAAAGAATAAAAATCTTAATGAATTTCCTGACATCCTAAAATTAATATCAGGTCGTATTCGGTTCAGTGGCCCAAACTCCAGTAGGTTACAAGACTTAAGTTCAAGTCGAGGAACACTTTGATTCAGCATGATCCTTGACTAGTTGGATTTTTCCCATACCATGCAGTTGTTATCTACTAATCACTCCTAAACTGAACGTTTTAGAGTCGAATCTCGAACCCTGCCATTCGGCCAAGAAATCTTAATCTGAAGTTCTAGAATTACAGTTCTAATGTTCTAGTACTAATTTATTAGTGCCCTAGATAAGATGTCGACTGTCGAGGCAGCTGTAACAACAAAAGAGACAGCCAGTAACCAATTGATAAAAAACGAGGGAATGACACACATTATCATACGATGGGAAAATATATGCGAACCAAACCACTGCACTGCGGTATTACTATTATGGTAAATGAGCTAAATTAAACTGCAGCCAACAGATCTCAATCCAGGGATTACAGACCAATATTGGTCGAGGCAGTGAAGTCAATTATAATTATAGTGGCCTGGGGTACTGGTCAGTGGTCAAGCAACAGTCTGGCCCGGATCCAGTGCCAAATTATTTTAGGTCCGGTATTCTTAGTATATATCATGGTTTCATGGAATCAGGAAATAAATCAAAAGTTGAATTCTGGTCATTACATTTTGGCTAAATTGGTGCCAATGAAAATTAATTGTTGGAGTTTTCACAAATCATGCAGTAGTTAAACTTATTTACTGATGACTCCTAAAGTGAGCGTTTTTCAGTATAACTATATGACGTGCATGAGTCGGCAATTGCGAACAATTTGCTGTTAGCAGCCGACCCTTTGACCTTAAGAAACCGTAATTTTGAAAAATTGCCCTTTCGTAAGACACAAATATGCTTCTGGCTTGGCCCATTAAGAGAGAACCCAATAAAGTAGATCATTCTCCAATTTTTGTTGGAGTTTCTAGACACAAAGTGACTCATCTTACATCTTGTGACAAATGTTGCTCATGAGTCTTTAAGACCTTTCTAGTCAACAGACAACAGTCCAATAGCCCATTTGTGAATATTGTTATTTTCGCTTGGCAAAAATCCGTTTTTCAGCCATATTTCCGAAAATAAGCCTTTTAGGGTATATGTTGCTTCATAAGTTGTATATCAATGCGGCCATTATGTACATTTTGGTGTATCAGAATAGTCTCTACGACCTTCCTAGGCGGAAATGCCAAAAATCACGGAAATTATGAACTGCGTCAAGCCAAAAACCGTTTTTTCGGCCATATTTCCGAAATGAAGCATTTTAAGGTACATGTTGCTTCATAAGTTGTATATAAATGTGGCTATTAGGCACATTTTGGTGTATCGGAATAGTCTTTAAGACCTTCCTGGGCTGAAATACAAAAATTCGACTGACCGCAAAACCCTGAAAAAGGGTGTGGCGAAAAACGCCACTATTGCATTTTTTTCAAAAATGCAATAGTGTCCAAATGTTTTAAGAATCATCTAGAGAGGTGATAACCGTTGAGAAATCGCTTTTAACACGAAAAGCTAACGAGATTCCGTTTCGTCTCTGACTAATTGTTTTGTAGAGACTGTGAGAATTTTCACAAAACCAAAATTGTTTTACCCTTTTGGAAAGATCAGTGAATTTCGCCTAGGTGCCATATTTGATGGTGCACGGCTTTTGGAGCAAAATTAGCTGTAAAAGTCGCGTAATTTGACCAAATTCGTTGATTTTTGTCGTATTATTCGGATATATCTTCGCCTTCGGTTCCTTGAATGAGATCATTCTGAAAATTGGCGGCGACCTTCCAATAGGGCTTTCACAACTGTCCGAAAAATTTTGTGGATATCAGAGTTGACATAGTGATCAAAATGGGGCAAAATACGATGCTTTTAGCTTTGTAGGTTTACAACCTACCTTGACCATTGTTAATGATTTGGCCCGGCGCGCGCTACTTCGAAGAAATTTAGACGAGTAACATCCGTCAAAACCTACCAGGACGCGCGCCGAGTTGGACTCGTCGACGGTCCAATATATGGAACAGATATTTTACGAGTATCACCCGTTAACTTTTAGCTGTAACATAATGTTTGATGGTTGGATATGCTTTAAATTTGTCGTACACTTTCCTTGTAAGTCTATGAATAAGCTTGACGGATGTTACTCTTCTAAATTTCTTCGAAGTAGCGCGCGCCGCTTTCTTCTCGAAATGTTCTCGAAATGGCCCAACGGCACGAGCTACGAAGTAGCGCGCGCCGGGCCAGATCATTAACAATGGTCAATGAGTAAGCTTACTAATTTTTATCGCAATCGGAGGTCGGGAAGGATACTCAATATTCATTTGTTTGAAGAAAATTGTGCTGGCCGAAATTAGCGCTAAAAAACCATCCTACAGTCGGCACGCGCGGCTCACTGTCGATGGTGCACTACCTAATAACGAACAACTTTCCTGCACAGCTTGCATTACACTCCGCACGCACAGTGATAATTACCCATCCTACAAGTACAGCGTGTATGGCGTATAGAGATTATATTTCAACTTGAACTTATCCCGCGGCGCGCACAAACATTGTAGTTGTACAATTAAATTACTGAATTACAGCTGGTCTCACTATTCCTGCGGGACCTAAATAAAATCTTGCGCGTGAGGCTTTTACTAATTCGCTCGCCCAAAAACTTTACGTGACTTTGGTTTTTATGATTTTGGTGACAGTTAAGCTTGTTTTTAAATTTTTTTCTATTCACACCGACCCTTTTATAAAAAGGCAATGCCAATATATAATGAAATGTTACGAATAGACGTTTTTGCAGAAAAACGTGGATTTTGGAGGTTGGGGTGACTTACTGGGCCGCGCTCAGCCTGTCATTCCGCCAAATCTTTATTATTATATGTTAATGAACATAATAGCCTGGGGTCCTCAGGTAAGGGGTGACTGAAGCTAGGTGCCAGGTGGGTTTAAATTTCGTTTTTGTTCGTCACCCTAACATCAGGTGAACTGTATCATGTATATAGTAGAGGCTCTTACGGGCAAAAAGACGTGTTTTCTGCTACGAGTTTAGAGACCTAACCGCTAATTGGACATAATAGTATAATGTCTAAGGATCGATAATATGTTAAGAAGTATAAATTTGGCCTTATTAGTCACGTGCTATACCAATGCGCGTTTTAAACTTTGACAGTCTATTACTCTAAGGCAAGTAGAGTAATTATATTCATATTTTGTCAGCAATAAGATCACATTATTTTCTATTTGGTGTGAAAATATGAGCTAGAACGGACATAATCTCGCTGAGTTATAGCTGTTTGAAATTTATGATGAACGCACGGGTGCCAATTGATAACAACTAAATGCTTTTGCGCGTAGTGCGCGTAGAAAATTTGGCAAAAACGCTTGCGGAGTGACAATATTCAAACTTCGATAAAATATATGAAGTGGGTACTTCTCGGAAAGGAAAAATTTAGGCAAACACGATGTGACTATTTTTGGATTGATTTAATACAACTGCAAAAATTATTCAAACTTCAAGCAAAAAAGTCAAAATTTTTACCACTTTTTTGGATTTTTACCCCCAAAAAAATAGAGGGATTTTTCAAATTTTTATATCATCTTGTGCGGCTGTGTTTTAGCTATCTCCATGCAAGTTTTACCGACATGCCAACAAAATTAACTTGTTCAAAATATCAAAAAACATGGTTTTTTGGCCTATTTTTTGCCCAAAAATCGGTTTTTTGCAATTTTACCCCCAAAAAGTCAGTCTAATCATCTTAAAATCACTTTTAATCGATTCTACGGTCAAAAATACGTCTGGTAAGGTGTATCTGGGGTCCCTAGCGTATCGAGCAGACAATGCCCGTAAGAGCCTCTACTAATAGGGGTAGACGGGGCAGACCACGCATTAGACCAAACTTAAAACAAGATGATTTGAAAGAGGATCATTTTAGTTTAATATCTGTGAACGGCCTATAAATGTTCATAACAGATCAGAATGGTGTTTAACGGGTGATACTCGTAAAATATCTGTTCCATATATATTGGACCGTCGACGAGTCCAACTCGGCGCGCGTCCTGGTAGGTTATAAACCTACAAAATGGTGTAAGAAGTTTAATTTCAGGCCTATATAATACTTGTTTGAATGAAAAGCACTAATACATATACTTATAGGAGAACCTTTTACCCTAGCTTTATACTTTTACATCTTTTTAAGATTTTGTTGTCCTTCATGCAGGACTGGTTAACTCTTTGGGATGTTGTTTTATTTTAATTATCGAAGTGTTAGAATACAGTGTTATATATTATTAACACCGCAATTCCAGTCGCAAGCATGGGACCACTACTAGCAGTGTCACAACATCTACAAAGCTGCCATATAGCCTGACTGACAATTTTCTCGACTGACTGACAATGTTTCTTCTTTTCCCCATTTAGAATACAAAGATTAGTACATTTTAGCTTATGATTAATATTATATTTTTACCTATAGTTTACCTAGAATAATATATACATATCCAAATTTTATACATATATATGTAAGTGAAACAAATCCATTTAATGTACATTTAATGTTCATTTAATGTATATTGTACATCTAAATAAGTCTCTCCTTGTATCCCGTTCAGACAGATAGGATTATAGCTGCTACAAATAGAAGTAGTATATAGTATATAGGTATATAGGTACCGATGATACCTATGCGCTAATACTACTACTAGTAATACACTAGGAATACACTTCTAGTAGCAATAATCTCACTACTTTGTAGTAACTCTCAGCTACTAGTCTACTACTAGTCTGTAGCACTACAACTCTCAGCTACTAGTCTACTACTAGTCTGTAGCACTACAACTCTCAGCTACTAGTCTACTACTAGTCTGTAGCACTACAACTTTCAGCTACTAGTTTACTAATTACTACTAGTCTGTGTTCTATCTCCTGACGCGGCAAACCAGACAGGTCCAGGAGAGCAAGCAGAGGACACCTCCTATCGTTACCAAGGCTACCATGTTAGGCCACCACACCTCCTCCTGTAATATAACGGTCTAATATAAAGTAGCCGATAAACCCTGGCTCAAAACCCGTTGCCCTGCAATTAGGACATGCATAATTTACGTTTTTAATTAGTACGATTAGGACTTACGGGGCTTAGAGAAAACCTTTCCAAAACGTCAGTGCCGTTTACAAAGTCACACCGGTCCCTATCACAACCTGTAATAATAAGTAACAGTAGTAATATTAGTAACTGTAAGGTTTGCAATAGTAACCCATTGACAGGGGACAAAACGCCAAGTTTAATTCAGAACTAAAATTTAGCAGAGTGTATTTTATTAGAAAAATAGAAATTGCTCACTTATTTGAGAGTCACTGAATTCGTTTGACATCATCATACTGAATCCGTAACGAAACCAAGAAACGTACTTAATAGGTTCCAAAAAGACTGGCGTCGACCTGACAAATGTATGCTGTAACCATAGCAACACTACCTTATATGGTTAAGTATGCATAGCAACACTACCTTATATGGTTATGTAGGCATAGCAACACTACCTTATATGGGTAGCTCGTGACAACACGATTAAAGATATACTAACTGGTCGTTTTGATAGAAGCCCCCGATAAGGAAGAAGGGCATTATAAGAGGTGCTATGAGAGCTCCAGCAATATTACTGTCTCCAGTCCAAGTAGCCACCAGCCAGCCTGCAACACAAAGTTCCTTGTAGCAGTACAGGTAATAGTAGTAATAGTAGTAATAGTATAGACTACTACTACTAGTAGCAGTACAGCTAATAGTAGTATATTAGTATAGACTACTACTACTAGTAGCAGTACAGGTAATAGTAGTAATAGTATTAATAGAAGTAATAGAAGTAATAGTAGTAATAGTATAGACTACTACTACTAGTAACAGTACAGCTAAAAGTAGTATATTAGTATAGACTACTACTACTACTACTAGTGTCTAGTAGCAGTACAATTAATAATACTATATTAGTATAGAAATTACTACTACTACTACTAGTAGCAGCACAGGTAATAGTAGTATAGCTCTGAAGTCTGAGTGAACTCTCAGTGAGAGCCAGTGGCGTAACGTTGCCTGTTGGGCCGTTGGCGCCCCCGCCGAAAATGTGCCCCCCTGTTGGCGCCCCCTCCCTAAAATTGAACAAATTAGGTGATTTTAGAGGATAAGCCGGTAAAATCTCAAAAAAGTGTGTTTCTAGAGCAAAACGCACAGTTTTGCTAGTACCTCGTCAAGTTTTTCAAAATTGTTTTACATTCAAACGACGATTTTGCCCCCCCCCCCCCCCCCCCCCGCACAGCGGAGTCAGCGGGGCCCTTCGTTACGCCACTGACTCTCACTTTGAAAAAAAGAACGCACCTAGGCCAGTCCCCACCCACGACACCCCTCCGTACGCTGCTACATTGGTCAAGAACGCAACAAACGTCTTCTTGAATCCTGAAAAGATATCTCGAGTGTACTAAGATACAGAGGTAAGATATAGGAGTGTACTAAACATGTGTATATATATAATATAATATGTGTGTAATGTGTATCTTTAAATTGATTTAGTGTCGAGTACTCGATGCCGAGTAGAGTTCTTCTACTATTGAGACTCGATCAGTAAATTTATTTTAGTTCACAATATTATTGAGGTTTAAAATTAAATTTTAGGAACCCACCTATCATGAAGTAACATATTGCCATGGTAACAAATGGCAGCCCGAACACAAATGGTAACTCAGAAATTATTTTGGATATGAAGTATGGTAAAGTTGAGTACATCCCGTTTTGGTACTCTCTTTTTATCACCGGCAATTCGCCTGGTATTGACTGAAAAGAGATTGATGGTTGAGTTCCGAAGCCCGAGAATGTTTTGAAGATTCAGTAATGAATTTGCAATAAAAGGAACTAATAAAGAATAAGGCACTGACCATGGTTTGAGTTGCGATGCTGTTAAAGGTAAAATAAACTATCAGATTGAACAGAGCTCCCGACTTGTTCTGTGCTACATTTTGGTCATTTTGTGTGTTCAGGAAGGTCAGTCCCATCAGTAACCCGATCACCTGGAACGAGCTTACCATTAAAGCATTAAGGGGACATATACCAAAACATTTTTTGCCGGGATTCGGGATTTGACTTCATATTAAGAAAGTATAGATTACAACAATAAGATTTGATCGCGGCGAGGCATTGAACAATTCTTTTTGAGAGTACGCACATTCGAAAAAAAAAGTCTGTCACTCTTATACCGATATTTCAGTAATTTTAAACGTTTTTTGGCTGATTGTTTTATCAAGCTGATAACGATTCTGTAAAAATTATTTCAAAAAAACTGATACTTTTTAAGTTATAGGCATTTTAAGCCTTAAATCGGCCATTTTTTGCCCATTTTTACGATAAATGTTACTAAGTCCTTTGAGGTCAGATTTCATACCTTAAAATTCAAAATTGAGAGAAATCCTGTTCCAAAAAGTTGAATATGATCATCAGCTACACTCACAAGAATTTTTGAAGCGATATCTTATGACCTGGGCGATTGGCAAAATATACAACTTTGATTTTTTGCAAAAATTTCAATTTTGGTGGTCGGGGCCGGAGGGTCGGGGACGGAGCCAGGGGGCGGGGGAAATATGCTCTTATTTGTGAGTTAACCTGGCCATTTGAATCTAATAAATGTACACAATTTATAAAATAACAGAAACAAGCAGCCTTACTATGGACTGCATGACTCTAGCTTTGCTGTAAGCAGGATTCCTGACTGTCCCTGTTAGACTTCTTCTAAAGTTCTCCACTACTTGTACCCACAAAGAGGACTGAATACGTTCCTTGCTGAGCAGTTATACACTATACATTATACATTATACATTATAGTACATGTTAGTAAGATAAGAGAAACTGAGCAGTACAAATTATTCACAAGAATTGAAGCTACCTGAGATCCTTGATAAGAACTAGAGGAGCGTTATCCGAAGATGAGTCTAGTTTGTCCCTCATACTGCTGTAGAACTGGGAGTGTTTGTAATGCTTTATAAGATGCTGACATCTCTCCCTACAGGTCTCCTCGCTGCCCGGGCGTATAGCCAGGGTAAACACGAAGTGATCTGCTGGATTAAAGTTATCTTTACAGGGATATCCAGCCGAGCTGAAGGTATCTAGTCCTGAAGCTGTGTCTCCCATGTACGCTATCTCTCCCTCCGACACCAGACATATCCTGACATTACATTATACATTATACATTATACATTATACATTATACATTATACAACATACATTATACATTATACATTGTACATTGTACATTATACACATATCCTGGTCAGCCGTCAGACACGTTATATTAATCAACACAAATCAATGTGTCATTAATATCAGACTTGAATATCGAATGCAATCGTAACAATCTAGCAATTTCAATTTTTGATTTAATCGACCTTGAAAAGAAAAGCACAGTAATTATCAGTAACCTGTCGAAGAGTTGAAATATCTCTGAAGCTGGTTGGTGTATAGTGCAGAGTATCGTCCTGTTAGCTTTAGCAAGTTTACTAATCAATGTGACCACGTTCTCTGAAGAAGGTATCCCAGGTATATCCCGCCGTTTCATAGTATAGATACTTGTACACTAATTCGATAGTTTTGAAGGTGAAACTATATACCTTACGAGACATATTTAAAAGGTACGAAAGTCGGTGGTTTTCCGAAAAAAAACACCATATTTTCGGACTATTTAGGTCACCATCATTATTTTTCCCAAATTATTTTTCACGTATTTTCTTTAATTATGACTTAATTATGACTTGTCGATTTACAATCAATATAGTAAGTTATTAATATGTTTCATGACGGTTGGACACGTTCCATTAGAAATCAGCAAGCTCTGCTACTATTTCATTTGCCACGGCGGTGAAATTTCGGGAGTGGTGGAGGATAACAATTTGTTATCCTCCACCGACCACCACTCCCGAAATTTCACCGCCGGTGTTAGAGGTGCCTATTGATTTTCTCAAATATTGAGTTTTATTTCATAAAGAATTAGAAATGAAAAAAAAATCCCAAATACCGTGATTTAATTTAGGGTGCGAAATGCGGTGGTTTTCGGCAAAAAATCCCTTATTTTCGTTCCCAATTCATTTCGGTCACCGGAATTATGTCGAATATAAATATGTCTCGTAAGGTATTGAAACTTCTGACGTTACCTTATTATTTTTATCAAAACAAGTTTAATTGCACAGTCACCTCGTGGCCCGCGGGGGCCCAGTGCTGGCTATCAGATATATATCAGATATATCAGGTATTTACAATGTATATCGACACTCCTCTATTGCCATTCGATTGGATTTTTGACCGGCGACATAGGAGGGGAGGTAACTCACCAGCCATAAAAGAGTCTAGCCCAGATGTAGGCTCGTCTATAAAGAGAAGGGGAGGGTCCATTATAAGCTCCGTTCCCACAGATAATCTTTTTTTCTCTCCACCTGTACAATGCAGCATTCAGCAATGATATACCACTACTAATGTACCTGATACATTACCTGGTAATGTACCAAGTAATGTACCAGGTAATGTACCCGATAATGTACCAGATAATGTACCAGGTAATGTACCCGATAATGTACCAGATAATGTACCAGGTAATGTACCCGATAATGTACCAGATAATGTACCCGATAATGTACCCGATAATGTACCAGATAATGTACCCGATAATGTACCCGATAATGTACCAGATAATGTACCAGGTAATGTACCCGATAATGTACCAGATAATGTACCAGGTAATGTACCCGATAATGTACCAGATAATGTACCCGATAATGTACCCGATAATGTACCAGATAATGTACCCGATAATGTACCCGATAATGTACCAGATAATGTACCAGATAATGTACCCGATAATGTACCAGATAATGTATCAGATAATGTACCCGGTAATGTACCCGATAATGTACCAGATAATGTACCCGATAATGTACCCGATAATGTACCAGATAATGTACCAGATAATGTACCCGATAATGTACCAGATAATTTATCAGATAATGTACCCGGTAATGTACCCGATAATGTACCAGATAATGTACCCGGTAATGTACCCGATAATGTACCAGATAATGTACCCGACAATGTACCCGATAATGTACCAGATAATGTACACGATAATGTACTCGATAATGTACTAGGTAATTCAGTTTACCTGAAATGCCTCGTAATTTGCCGGTAGGAAATCCAACTAAAGTATCTTGAGCTTTTGTGAGCCCCAGTATCACCAAAATATCTTCAACTTTTTTCAGCTTCTCCTCGGCGGAAATTTTAGGATCCATCCGTAAATTTGCCTGACAAATAATTTCTTGATGAAACTGACAGAACTTAACCCAAGTATTTAACATCTTCTAATCGGATGTGACAGAAGACTTGACGCATATTATAGGTATTATCGTTGTCCTATAAAGTTTAACACATTTCTTAAATAACTGGGAGCACTCACATGAAACATCATTACTTCCTTGACTGTCATTGTTCCTATAAAGTAGTCTTCTTGCTGCACGTACGCGCTTACTAACTTCATCTTGGATTGGGAAATCTCTTTACCGTTTATTTTTATTGTACCTGAAATTAATTCATTTCTGTCTCGTTTCTACTTTGTTTCTATTTCGGAAACATTAAATATATATTGTTAACAATAATGTGTTATATATACCCCCCCCCCCCCCCCCCCCCCCCCACTACGCTACATTGCTAATAAATAAGTAAATAGAAAACACTTTCGGAAGAACAAAGATTTAAAATTATAAAGCCCATATTTATGGTAACCTGAAGTAGAGATGGATTTGCTGTTCCTGCAAGCCAGTGTGTTGAGGAGAGTGGTTTTGCCAGCCCCACTAGCGCCCATTATCGCTACAAACTGACCTGGTTCTACCAGGCCTGATACTGAAATACTGTGTCAAAATACTACGGCTTCATGCTTCAAATCCCGATCATGATAAGTCACTCTACACTGGAATTGCCGAACTTCAAGAGTTTTTCCCGATCCATGACTCAAAAGAGTCAAGGACAAGGGTTAGGAACGAGAATATTTTGTACGTGGGAGCTTGCGTCCGCACGAATTCCGTCCGTTATACTGATTCTGAATCACCCTACATGACATAGAGTTTAAAAGTTTCTCTGACAATTTATCTAGTAGTGTAACTATGGTAACCATGAGCAGTGTTATCTAGTAGTGTAACTATGGTAACCAGCAGTGTTATCTAGTAGTGTAACTATGGTAACCAGCAGTGTTATCTAGTAGTGTAACTATGGTAACCAGCAGTGTTATCTAGTAGTGTAACTATGGTAACCAGCAGTGTTATCTAGTAGTGTAACTATGGTAACCAGCAGTGTTATCTAGTAGTGTAACTATGGTAACCAGCAGTGTTATCTAGTAGTGTAACTATGGTAACCAGCAGTGTTATCTAGTAGTGTAACTATGGTAACCAGCAGTGTTATCTAGTAGTGTAACTATGGTAACCAGCAGTGTTATCGGCAAAAAAATGTTTTTTAGCCTGTAAGGGAGTCCGGAGTAGGTTGAATTTCTCCTATTGAACACAGTGTAAACTGTAAACCTATTGAACACGCTTGTATTTACAATTTACCTCCTTTCAGTATCTCTTTAGATGTAGGTTTATCAGTCTTCTTGCACCGTTCAAATAGACTAGGAGCAAGATTAGCGGCGACTGAGACATCCTTCCAAGAGAGTGTAATCTTTGAAAATAACTTGAACCTCCCTTCCTCGTCAAGCTGAGGTTTATTATAACCTTTATATATTACTTTATTATAATGGGATATGTTACTTTATTATAATGGGAGTTTTTACCAAAAGCACGACCGTTGCCCCGTTTATCCCCGTTGCTATATTCACATCGATATCATTTCTTTTTATTTGAAAAAAAAGACACTGGCGACGGTCCACTCTACTCGAATTTTGGTTTGGGGTAAAAAGGCTGACGGTCGTGCTTGCCAGCACTGCAATGTATCATTTTATTAAAATGGTATACATCATTTTATTATAATGGAATATAGTACAATTTGTGTCAGGATTACTCACTTCTTCCATCTTCATCTCGAAATCGTGGGAGACTCCATTTTCCTGTCCTGATGAAGGAGAGACATCCGTCTCATAACTATCTTCTATTGGCTGGTAGCCTTCACCCATCTTAACTGAGAATCAGGGGAATCAAGAAGACAGACTACTGCACATTTGGACTACAATTATTGATCTAGTATCTGGTAAATATCCAGTACTATACATAATATCAGCTTCAAGTGAGAGACAAAGTTACAAATTGTGTGTAAAAGTTGAATTGAAACTTGACCGACAGTCGTCAGTTTCAAATATCTTATCTCGTCAAAAAATTAAAATAATCGCTGCATTTGGTAATAATTGAATTACTAACTGAACATTGCTTTCAAAGCCGAGAGTATTCGCAAATCCAATAAAACTCGAAATGTTTATGAAAAATTCGACCAGGGCGTAATACTAAAAGCAGGGAAGTTGGATACATCTTGGTGACAGTGAGCAGGGAAGTTGGAGCTACATCTTGGTAACAGTGAGCAGAGAAGTTGGCTACATCTTGGTAACAGTGAGCAGAGAAGTTGGCTACATCTTGGTGACAGTGAGCAGGGAAGTTGGCTACATCTTGGTGACAGTGAGCAGGGAAGTTGGCTACATCTTGGTGACAGTGAGTAGGTAAGTTGGATACATCTTGGTGACAGTGAGCAGGGAAGTTGGCTACATCTTGGTAACAGTGAGCAGGGAAGTTGGCTACATCTTGGTGACAATGAGTAGGGAAGTTGGCTACATCTTGGTGACAGTGAGCAGGGAAGTTGGCTACATCTTGGTGACAGTGAGCAGGGAAGTTGGCTACATCTTGGTGACAGTGAGCAGGGAAGTTGGCTACATCTTGGTGGCAGTGAGCAGGGAAGTTAGCTACATCTTGGTGGCAGTGAGTAGGGAATTTTGATACATCTTGGTAACAGTGAGCAGGGAAGTTGGCTACATCTTAGTAACAGTGAGCAGAGAAGTTGGCTACATCTTGGTGACAGTGAGCAGGGAAGTTGGCTACATCTTGGTGACAGTGAGCAGGGAAGTTGGATACATCTTGGTAACAGTGAGCAGGGAAGTTGGCTACATCTTTGTGAGAGTGAGCAGGGAAGTTGGATACATCTTTGTGACAGTGAGCAGGGAAGTTGGCTACATCTTGGTGACAGTGAGCAGGGAAGTTGGCTACATCTTTGTGACAGTGAGCAGGGAAGTTGGATACATCTTGGTAACAGTGAGCAGGGAAGTTAGCTATATCTTAGTAATATAACAGTGAGCAGGGAAGTTGGCTACATCTTGGTGACAGTGAGCAGGGAAGTTGGCTACATCTTGGTAACAGTGAGCAGGGAAGTTGGCTACATATTGGTAACAGTGAGCAGGGAAGTTGGCTACATCTTGGTGGCAGTGAGCAGGGAAGTTGGCTACATCTTGGTGACAGTGAGCAGGGAAGTTGGCTACATCTTGGTAACAGTGAGCAGAGAAGTTGGCTACATCTTGGTGACAGTGAGTAGGGAAGTTGGCTACATCTTGGTGACAGTGAGCAGAGAAGTTGGCTACATCTTGGTAACAGTGAGCAGGGAAGTTGGCTACATCTTGGTGACAGTGAGCAGGGAAGTTGGCTACATCTTGGTGACAGTGAGCAGAGAAGTTGGCTACATCTTGGTGACAGTGAGCAGAGAAGTTGGCTACATCTTGGTAACAGTGAGCAGGAAGTTGGCTACATCTTGGTGACAGTGAGCAGGGAAGTTGGCTACATCTTGGTAACAGTGAGCAGGGAAGTTGGCTACATCTTGGTATCAGTGAGCAGGGAAGTTGGCTACATCTTGGTGACAGTGAGCAGGGAAGTTGGCTACATCTTGGTGACAGTGAGCAGAGAAGTTGGCTACATCTTGGTGACAGTGAGCAGGGAAGTTGGCTACATCTTGGTGACAGTGAGCAGGGAAGTTGGCTACATCTTGGTGACAGTGAGCAGGGAAGTTGGATACATCTTGGTAACAGTGAGCAGGGAAGTTGGCTACATCTTGGTGGCAGTGAGTAGGGAAGTTGGCTACATCTTGGTAACAGTGAGCAGGGAAGTTGGCTATACATTTTGGTGACAGTGAGCAGGGAAGTTGGCTACATCTTGGTAACAGTGAGCAGGGAAGTTGGCTATACATTTTGGTGACAGTGAGCAGGGAAGTTGGCTACATCTTGGTAACAGTGAGCAGGGAAGTTGGCTACATCTTGGTGACAGTGAGCAGAGAAGTTGGCTACATCTTGGTGACAGTGAGCAGAGAAGTTGGCTACATCTTGGTAACAGTGAGCAGGGAAGTTGGCTACATCTTGGTGACAGTGAGCAGGGAAGTTGGCTACATCTTGGTGACAGTGAGCAGAGAAGTTGGCTACATCTTGGTATCAGTGAGCAGGGAAGTTGGCTACATCTTGGTGACAGTGAGCAGGGAAGTTGGCTACATCTTGGTGACAGTGAGCAGAGAAGTTGGCTACATCTTGGTGACAGTGAGCAGGGAAGTTGGCTACATCTTGGTGACAGTGAGCAGGGAAGTTGGCTACATCTTCGTGACAGTGAGCAGGGAAGTTGGATACATCTTGGTAACAGTGAGCAGGGAAGTTGGCTACATCTTGGTGGCAGTGAGTAGGGAAGTTGGCTACATCTTGGTAACAGTGAGCAGGGAAGTTGGCTATACATTTTGGTGACAGTGAGCAGGGAAGTTGGCTACATCTTGGTGACAGTGAGCAGGGAAGTTGGCTACATCTTGGTGACAGTGAGCAGGGAAGTTGGATACATCTTGGTAACAGTGAGCAGGGAAGTTGGCTACATCTTGGTGGCAGTGAGTAGGGAAGTTGGCTACATCTTGGTAACAGTGAGCAGGGAAGTTGGCTATACATTTTGGTGACAGTGAGCAGGGAAGTTGGCTACATCTTGGTAACAGTGAGCAGGGAAGTTGGCTATACATTTTGGTGACAGTGAGCAGGGAAGTTGGCTACATCTTGGTAACAGTGAGCAGGGAAGTTGGCTACATCTTGGTGACAGTGAGCAGGGAAGTTGGCTACATCTTGGTGACAGTGAGTAGAGAATTTTGATTCATCTTGGAACTAGTTCACAAAATTCAAAAAGATAGAAGATAGTTTTGAGATCTTGGCTTTAATAGAAAACCTATTAAAGCCAAGATCTCAAAACTGAAGGGAAGCTGTCACTGATCATTAAACCATGGTTTGAAATTCAGATCATGGTTTGGTAAGTGATGGCTCTCACTAGTGTAGTGATTAGAGCTGTGAAAATGGCACGAGTGCATTACCATGTATATTGTATATTGTATATCGGGAAAGGATTAATATGAGCCCGGTGGCTAACAATTCCATATAATTTAATACAATTACAGTGGGCATTTTCTAGTTACAGGTAAAATAAAGCACCTTTTAAGATCATCACCCGGTTTAAAACCAGATGTGATTTCACTGATTAAGAAATAGGAAATTAACAGAAACCAATATGGAACCTAGCTCCAATTCAAGGCGCTTATCAGTTATTACCCCCTCCCCCCCCCTCCCCCTCCCCCCCCCTCCTATTACAGCTGTACCTCCTCTTGTCCGCTAATTAGTTATCATGAATTAAATATAACAGTCAACAAGGGATACCAGCTGTATCACAACCAGTTTCATAATATGCAGTACATATGTGCAGGTAAGCTAGCAGACTACAGAAGATCAAGAACAGGTGAGCACCATGGTTACCATGACGTGTCTGGTTTATAATGCTGTTACTGTTAAAACTAACAAACCAGTCTCTTATAGCCTTATATCCACATTGTCATGTGTGGATTACAACAGAAACTGAAAATTAGAGGATGCAAATGTACAATTTTATTTGAGTAGCGATACAACTTTTTCTGGTACATGATAACTAAATTAAAATACTTATATTTTGAAGTTTGTACAGCATTATCAGTTGGCTTTTTGTTTAATTCAAAACAAAAGAAATGAAGTCATCCCCTCTCTAAAACGGTATGTAGCAACAATAAACTATTAAAACAACATATCAAAATAGAATGTAACAGTTACTTTTCCGAGTGATCAATGTGAACACTTGAGCTAGCCAATGTAATGAGTCCACGAAACTATACGAAATACTTTAACTTCCTAGATCACTAAGTTGTGTGATATCCCCTATAAAAGAGCTATATATAATTTAGCTACCTATATAGTATATTTATAATAAAGCTAAGGGGGCTGAAACAAGGACACGTGTTAATGGAATTTATTCATTACCTGCCCCATATTACCACACATCAGTAAACTAAGCTACAACTGCTTTCTAGCCAATATCCTTAATAAGGGGTTAGGGGTCTTTCGCATATTACGTGTTCAGCCGAGGGGGGAGGGGGGTTTCAAAATGATTACGCTAGTGCAATTTTGATACAATAGCTGTGTGTAAAACTGATAACGGACGGGGGGTGTAAAAATTGACCAAAAAGTGATTGCGTAATATGTGAACGACCCCTAACCCGGTCCTGCAGATTTTATCGTATCCTAGACTAATAACTAAATCAATGTAAGACTATTAGAGTGCAACAAAAGAAGGGAAGTGAGTTATTAGTGACTACCTGAAACTGGGAAGTGACAGCCCACAGTCACGTGACTCCACACCACGTGACTCCGCACCCCGTGTATTGTACACTGAAACACTCGCCCTCACTGTCTCACTGTTCCAGTGTTCCAGTCTGATTAGATGTCAGCGAGCAAGGATCTAATTAGTATTATTAGCAAGCTGAAGCATTATTACACGTCACCAGTACACGTCACCAGTACACGTCACCAGTACACGTCACCAGTACACGTCACTAGTACACGTCAAGAGTACACGTCACCAGTACACGTCACTAGTACACGTCACCAGTACACGTCACCAGTACACGTCACCAGTACACGTCACCAGTACACGTCACCAGTACACGTCACCAGTACACGTCACCAGTACACGTCACCAGTACACGTCACCAGTACACGTCACTAGTACACGTCACCAGTACACGTCACCAGTACACGTCACCAGTACACGTCACCAGTACACGTCACCAGTACACGTCACTAGTACACGTCACCAGTACACGTCACCAGTACACGTCACCAGTACACGTCACCAGTACACGTCACCAGTACACGTCACCAGTACACGTCACCAGTACACGTCACCAGTGCACGTCACCAGTACACGTCACCAGTACACGTCACCAGTACACGTCACCAGTACACGTCACCAGTACACGTCACCATGGTGACGTCACCAGAGGCAGGTTAATCAGAGCACGCAACATAAGTTCAATACTTCTCTGCACTTCTCAGCACTAGTCTTAAGTCTGGTGTCCTCAGCTCGAGTATCATCAGGACTAGTCTGGTGTCCTCAGCTCGAGTATCATCAGCACTAGTCTGGTGTCCTCGGCTCGAGTATCATCAGGACTAGTCTGGTGTCCTCGGCTCGAGTATCATCAGCACTAGTCTGGTGTCACGTTCACCAGTGGCGTAACGTTGCCTGTTGGCGCCCCCCTGCCGAAAAGGCGCCCCCCCTGTTGGCGCCCCTCCCCCTTTTGGTGCCCCTCCCTAAAATTGAACAAATCAGGTGATTTTAGAGGATACGCCGGTAAAAATCTCTAAAAAAGTGTGTATCTAGAGCAAAACGCGCAGTTTTGCTAGTACTTTAGTTAAGTTTTCGAAATTGTCCCACATTCAAACGATGATTTGGCGCCCCCCTAAGACGGCGCCCCCCTGCACAGCGGGGTCAGCGGGGCCCTTCGTTACGCCACTGACGTTCACCTCAAATTTTCTCAGTCAGATTCCTCAATTTTCAGCACCTTAAATAATAGACACTTCCATTCCCAGCGTTTGGTTTCATACCTTTCATTAAGTAATTTAGACGCAGTTCACTTCAACCAATAAGCTTCACTCATATAATTAGTCCACCATTAGGCCTTGTTTCATGTATCACGTGACATACCAACTCATTTTCCACTTTCCGCATGGGTTTATCCTTGTTGAAACATTTTGTCATCATTAATGGCCTGCTTCTAAAATCACCCCACTCAAGTGTCACATGATCACCTTTCACAGTTTTATAACTCACGGGAAGTTTATTTTTGTCAGTTCTGTGGATTACCTTTTATCATTTTGTACCGATTATATATATATCAATTTCTTTTACAATTCTCTTCCACGAACCTCAAATTTAAAGTCTTTTATTTTGTATCCTACCACTAAGGGGCCATTTACTTAGGACGTCCGGCAAATAGGGAGGGGGGTGGTTTTGGAATTTCGGACAAATCCGGACAGGGGGAAGGGGGTGGTTTTGAAAATTCGGACACACCCGGACAGGGGGAGGGGGGTGGTCTGAAAATCTGCGATTTTGTCGGACGTCCTAAGTAGATGGCCCCTAAGACGAACAGCTAGATCCTCAGCTCGTGTATCATCAGCACTAGTACTTAAATCATGAAACACATTAAAACAGGGAGTAAGTAAAAATCCAAGAAGACACCAGAATCAATAAACTTCAGTAAAGTCCGTTGATTAAGTTACACGTACACCTTCAATTATACAAATAAAAAGACGAAACTTCAAACCACTCTCTAGATCTTCAAGTTCAAAAAAAATAAACGAAAGGTCGATTTACATTTTTCGATTTCATTGCATTTAAACAAGCAGGATAACTTTTAACATTTCATTTGTACAAGATCACAATTTTAATTCAAATTTCCACTAAAATTGTCGATTAAAACGAATGGAAAACTTTCCTCACGAAAAATCGCCCATAGATGTGGATTGTGGTGGAGAGGTAAAGCATAACTGTGACGTCATAATTGTGATATCATAATTATGACGTCATAACTGTGACGTCACCAAAACATGCTTCACCTCGGACACCTCCTCAATGATTATAATTATATCTTATTTGATATGAGAAAGTGATTACCTACAAATATTACCCATATATGGTTGGATCACATGTTTGATCACGTGTCAACAATTCACCACCAGACTCCACATCTATTGGCAACCATAAATTACTTCCACCACTTCAGTAGATTTCCATCGTCCACTCAACTATTTAAGTCGTTGATGTTATGTGTTAATTCAGAGCCGCGCCAATAGTATTGTGGAGGACCCACAGTAAAGCGTATAGTGTATATATATACACTATACACTTTACTGTTTACTGTGAGTCCTATATAAAACAGTGTTAAGTTATCAGAACTTTGTAGGCTTATTAATAAAGCTAACCCCAATCAAACAGAAAATGTAAAACAATAAAACGTCACTTCAGAACTAGATAATGTCAAATATCATCCAAAGTTTATCACTTAAATGAACTCTTCAATTGTTCAGCCTGTATTCTACTCCACTCTTCTTTAACCACTTTTCTTTAGAAAGTTTGTTTTTAGGAAAAACTCTGATATCAAGCTCGTCTTTACCTACACTTTGGAATGCCCAGGCCTCCACAACTTATTGACAGTATTATCCAGAATATCGCCTGAAATTAATCTAATGTTATAAAATGTGTTATAATGTGTTATAAGATGTTATAATTATATGTTAAAATATATTATAAAGTGCAATATAATGTGTTATAATGTGTTATAATAGGAACTAAAATGGTAGTTTGTAGTACTCACAAAGCCTATTCCGCCGATAAGCAAGTACATTTTAACGTTTTTCCAGAACATAGCGCGCCTCAGGTCCCTACTTTGACGCTGGAACTGTGTGCTCTGGTTCGTGAGATCCTCTGCTTTGTTCACTAGCAGTTCTATCCTCTCCCCTCGCTCTGACAAGGAATCTGAAAAAAAGAACAGTCTGAAATGGAAAGAGAAAAGATTACATCTGAAAGAGAAAAGATTACATCTTTCAGAAAGGTATAAGGGTGCCCTCAAATAAGGGTTACTTTGCATGTTGTTTCACTTTGCCTGTTGTTTGTTTTAATTATTTACCTATGTTTTTGACCATAATCTGCTTTAAATCGTCGATTTCATTTTGAACTTTGGAGATGGTTCCAGATTCAGGGTTGTTAGTGTAGTACCTCTGAGAAAAAGATGGAATTATTTATAATAATGTATATAATGTATATTGTATAATAATGTATGATAATGTTTAATAATGTATAATAATGTATAATAATGTATATAATGTATGGTAATGTATATAATGTATAATCAAAACTCGGTGTTATGCGGATATAGTATGATTCAGAAAATAGCTAATATTTCTAAGTACCTAACTAACTAACTAAACGTTTCATTTAATAGCTACATATTAAGTAGAAACAGTGCAGTTTTCTGACCATCTGGTTTTGGAGAACTTTGTTAAAGTCACTGTCCATAGCGTAGGGGAGTGCGGTTTTAGCAGTTGTTCCGTATTGTCTTTCAAACCTTGTCATAAATCAAGTCAATACACATTGCACAGGTCTCTGGGGGGGGGGGGTGTAACCCAAAAAAACCCAATCCCAGTATTACCTTTTTCAGGGTAGGAGTTGGGTTTTTTTGGGTTTTTTTGGGTTTTTTACAAATTTTTCATTTGAAGGAAATAAAATCATGTAGGCACCTAGCAAAACAATTATTAGTACAACATCACTGTTGTGGTTCATCACTACAACATCACAATAGATATAATCGCTTAAATATCACCCAAAAGCAGTATTTTATTCACTGATGTGCTCAGAAGAAGTTGGCCATCCAGATATGATATCAGCCATATGTAATGCTCACTTCGATGGCCATGGCAAATTGAGTTAGTAGGGACGCAACTCACTGATGACCCCAACCCTGACCGCAACCGGTACGAGAGGAATAAAGCCTTTCTTCTCACCTTCACGATCTCTGTTTCCGTTTTCCTGATCATCCGCTTAACGAGAAACCATGCTCTATCTCTAACTGAAAGAATCTTGCAGTTACCATCAGCTGCATGATCGCATGTGATATCGAGTGATATCTTTGCTTGTTTATGGCCCTGGAGTCGCTAAAATCTTGACTGGGATGGCATTCGATCTCGCCCTCCATTGAGGCAAACCTCAACAGCCGTATCATGATGCAGAGCATCACAATACACAGTTACTATTTTCGCCCATTCCTCTGATGAGTCAATATTCTCCACTTTACAAGTAGGCAGGTGGTCTTTCAATGGTTGTGTGAAGCTTAGGTGGCCCAAGGCGTCACCGCTGGATAGAAGCTGGGTGGAAGCCCTGGTCTGATGTGAGGCTCCCAGAACTTTGAAAAGGGGTATCCTGCTGGTGCCCTCTTCCAGACACTCATCGGACAGCATGATGAAAGCCACTACCTCCGCGTGCTGAAGACTGGATACTGGACAGGGGGTCCAGGCTAAAGGCAGGACGATCGACGGGAGACATTAAGCCCCGGTAGTTCAATAATTTGATCTATTGACTCCTTAACTCTTGGTCTACAAGAGGCTTTGAGACTCGTAAATCTTTACTGTGGATTGCACAGTAGCTAAAGAGGTGTTGGCTGTTACCCTGTTCAACCTAGTCTACTATGACCATTGACCCAGCTAGACTGGACCACACTCTGGTGGTCAGGATACGGCTCCCTATGCCCGGGGTACCGGCTAACGAGGTAGTCAGGGGAAGGGTTAGTCCCCGCTAAAGTGTAGCTCTGTTCTCACTCTAACCTCCTTATGCTTTGGGATAAAATCGGAAAGTCCCACACTGGAGCAGGTGACGATTGGGTAAGGATTACAACTGATGCTGTTGGGTAGAAAAAGGAAGTGTCACATTTGTCTTGTATAGCATATTATGTTCGTGCAATTACATGCTCAAGATACCCAAGATATTATGGTGAGAGTTAAAGATGGCTATTGTTCAAGTGGATGCCCTTAACCTTTTAGTGGCGCAAGAGTTAAGAACACAATCCACTGCCAATGTGCAGGGGACTGCACAGGATTGTGAGCCAACTGAAAAGTCAAGATGAAGTAAATGAAGTTTATCAACAGCTTAAGGGTTAAAGCCCCTTATTTTTCTAGTGGAAGTGGTTGCCGGGGTAATTACGCTGCTATTACAGAAGCTGATGACTCGGTCTCCACATCACGACAACCTATTTCTACAGAAAGTCAAACAAGAAAACATCAAAAAAATATGAACATCAATTGTATTGTATCATGTAAAAGGACTGCTAAGGTTAGCACATTTAACAATAAGACTTATAAGGCTATAAGTCTTATAAAATTATAAAATCATAAAATCTTACAGCGCAAGGATCCTCACCATGTCTCTTAATGGAAAGCCCAGGCTCACTGTCATCACATGCTACAGTCCTACAGAAGCCTCATCTGATGAGGAGGCATGAAATCTTTTTTGTCTAAAACCAAGCATCTTACAGTTAATTTAGTAGGAGAGGAGCCACACACAATAATTTCTAAGGACGGACATGCCTTAGAAGAAGTTGAGGATTTTAGTACAACGGAGCACGACTTTAGGTTACGCAAGGCCAAGGCATGGGCTGCCTACCACAAAATGTAGGCTATATGGAGGTCCAATTTGCGCCGAGATTTAAAGATCCGTCTGTTCAAGTTACGGTTGAATCAATCTTCCTGTATGGAACGAAAACGTGGACAATAACAGAATCTTTGAAGAAAAGAATAGACGGATGTTACAGTAGAATGCTTCGGATGGCCCTAAACGTGGACTGGAGAGGACATCGCACCAACAAGGTCTTTGGATCACTCCCAAGAGTTATTTCGAAGATACAGGCCAGAAGAATGAGGTTGGCTGGGCACATCCAGCGACATGATGACCTGGCAGCACACCAACTTCTCCTTTGGGAACCTAGGGAGGGGTAGACCACCGCTCACCTTCGTCGATAACCTAATAAGTGACACTGGATTAAGAACACTGGGGAGATTAAGGAGCTTATGGCGGACAGAAAGCTTTGGAGACACATCATCGAGACTCGGACTCTGAAGCCGCCTTAAGTCAAGTAATTTAAGTCATGTGCTTTGACTTGCCCTTGACCTTCGTCATAGCCTCCTTTCATGACAGGAGAACACATTTGCCACGTTTGGCACATTTCCACTTTGTGCATTCATATATGGATTATATCTCGATGAACGAGACATCCTGTTTGCTATCGTGATAACATACTATCAATATAAACACCTTTATATACTATGTAAACTATCTATTAAGTTAAGACATGAGAACAACACGTAGGTAAGACTCAGTGGGAAATAATTCACATTCAATACAATTAATGAAATGGCTAGAATTTTGTTTAAATTTTGTTTAAAAAACCCAAAAAAACCCAAAAAAACCCAATCCCAGTATTACCTTTTCTTGGGTAGGAGTTGGGTTTTTTTGGGTTACACCCCCCCCAGGTCTCTATAAATTTAGTCTCAATAATGCTGAGTATGACTTAGTGTCCGATTACTTATTCGGGGAAGATATGAATAAGAATAATTTCCATTTCTCCCTACACTGTCGCATGTATATAAAAATACAGGAAGTAGTTTAACAAGTTATCTAACTTATTTAAAACAAGTGTTAAACATGTTATATCCCACAACACATGTTACACGTGTTATACGCCACAACACATGTTACACGTGTTATACCCCACAACACGTGTAACACGTGTTGTGGGGTATAACACGTGTTATACCCCACAACACGTGTAACACGTGTTATACCCCACAACACGTGTAACACGTGTTATACCTCACAACACGTGTTACACGTGTTATACCCCACAACACATGTTACACATGTTATACCTCACAACACGTGTTACACGTGTTATACCCCACAACACATGTTACACATGTTATACCCCACAACACGTGTTACACGTGTTATACGCCACAACACATGTTACACGTGTTATACCCCACAACACGTGTTACACGTGTTATACCCCACAACACGTGTTACACGTGTTATACCCCACAACACGTGTTACACGTGTTATACCCCACAACACGTGTTACACGTGTTATACCCCACAACACGTGTTACACGTGTTATACCCCACAACACGTGTTACACGTGTTATACCCCACAACACGTGTTACACGTGTTATACCCCACAACACGTGTTACACGTGTTATACCCCACAACACGTGTTACACGTGTTATACCCCACAACACATGTTACACGTGTTATACCTCACAACACGTGTTACACGTGTTATACCTCACAACACGTGTTATACCCCACAACACGTGTTACACACAAAGTAATTCTGATCCAATGTTTCCTTAATTTGAGAAAGAAAATTGAGGATCTATGACGCCAACAAAAGATGTAATGTTGAAATGCTGTCTAAGCGTATTGAATATCAGCGGTGGAACTTGGAAGATGTTTGGTCATATACTCAGGAGTCAGGAGAACACTACATTCGCCATTGAATCTGACAATCTGTTTGCTGGTAGATTAAGAAGACCGAGAATGAACTTACTGTCTGTTTTAAGAAGTGATTTAGATGGAAGAAATATGTTTATCAATGACATAAATGAACTTAACGAGGTGAAAGATATGGCTGCGTGCAATAAATGTTGGGACGATTTTTATTATCGGCACAGATTACCACATTAAGGTATTTAATTTTGAAATCATTTTTGTTGGCGTGATCCTGTTAAATAATAATAATAGAGTGAAATTGAGTGGAATTGGAAACCCCTCGGCTGATTACGTAATATGTGAACGACCCTTAGCAATTATCTTCCAGATTGGTTAAAACTTTTTGCAGTTCATTACATTTTGGAGCAGGAGATACGGCGAGACATGGATATTATTTCTTGGAGATTGGAATATTTGTAAGTTATTAAACTTAGCCGATCATTCACTGTAAAATAATTGCTGAGGACTGTGATGTTATATCAGCACGCGCGTCGCACCCATTAATTGGACTATTACAGTAAATTGACAATTTGATTACTCACATGACGCGCGCGCATTTCATGCGCGCGCGTGTCACTTGCGCTGTGACTAAACTGCAACTTTGATCGCGCGTTACATAAATCACTGACATAAACAGAGAATCCAGTAGATGTTTTCTTCTCAGAATTGTAATCGAATGTCGCCCCAGTTTAGAAACAAAATGGCGCAAAAGTCAGGTCCGTGCGCAAACTTGCCTCCTACCCTAATTTTATAGTATAGGACTGTGTTTACTAATTTCACACATTACAATCATTTCCGATCACATTCAAATTACAAAAATATTCAATTCCACTCTTATGTAATTTTACTGATCTGTAGGCTATTATTAAGTAGTGGGCTCTCTGCTTCTCTGCAGCCCTTCCAGTACACTTAATTTTACTAATGGTTTAGCTTCATAGTCACTACTATTTAAATCATTATTCCTAACACATGCATTGGACCAATCTAGTATAATTAGGTTGACACGGTTAGATATGAGGGCGGGCCACAAGCATCACCTCCCTAGAAATAGCCACGATGTGTAGGAACAGTTACCTATCATACCTATCATACGCATACAAGGTCCATACTCGTTACCTTAGTATTAAATGTTATATTACCTTAGTTTGGGCGGCCCTATCGCACAAAATTTGTGCACACAAATTTTGCGAAGCAAAAATGTAAAGTGAAAGTGTACGAATGGTCGCTTTTGCAGAAAAACAGGGATTTTGGAGAACGAGGAAGGTGGGTTTAGATATGTCGTCATTCTTTCTGTCCGTTACCATGACAACGAGAAAGAGCAAGGGTTGCTTGTGGAGTTGTGATGTATAGTCTGTAGTCGTGCATGCGCGGCACGTACATGACACGTGTAGTGATGCGTATAAGACAAGAGTATAGTTCACTTTTTGCTTACAATTTCTTAAATTACAGATAACATGTAATTTCTACGGCAATTGAATTGAATGACAAATGTTTCCCTATTTAAAGCATTATATTATGCACGAAAAAAACGGGCGCAATTCTGTAGTTAAATGATATTATGTATAATTTCGTTACAAGCAACGTTTCGAATTTGTATTTATTGCATTTATGCCGATTTAAACGAGTTATAATACTTCTTTGAAGTAACTGTAATGAATATACCTTTGTCCTCTTTTTAACCCAAAATGGAAATTTGAGGTAAAATGAATTTTTTTGGGTTTCTGGGGTTGGACACCCCCATACTTTTTAATTAAAATTTTTATCGGCTGGTCAGTGGTCGAAAACTAACATTAAATATAAATTGCGTGCGTCGGTGGTGTACAGTTCGAATCTGTATGTGTGCTGGTCACATGATAGATCCTATTTGTACGAGTAAATTATTGTTTGTACGAATAAATTGAAAAATTAAAAGGTCGTGTAGGACGTAGGTTGTATCATTTAAATTTTTGATGGATGAACTTAAGGATCGTAATTTGGTTATGAATACTTTAGAAGAGTTGAATGAAATAAAGGATATAGCTCGGTGTTGGAGGAATCTTTTGTAGTCTTTTGCACAGTTTACGGTGTGAAGATGTTTTTATCACAGTAGATTCTATTTGTACTGTATACTGTGTATGATCCTGTTAATTAATTTATTATTATTAGTAAATTATATACGCTAATCTAACTGCGTATAATGCGATTACACTATTAATTGCACGAGGCGCAGTAATCGTACCTAATAAGATTTCGGTCACTCTCAAAACAGTGCAATTAGTTTTGTAATCGCACCCCCTGGAAAAAAAATCTACCAAATACCGGTGCAATTATGGAATTAATAAATGGCCGCCAAATAGGTCAAAAGTGGAGTTATATCCGGAATATACCTAAAATTAATCAGTTTGTCTCCACTGCCTTCAATGTTAGTTGCATTGGTTACCTTCGACACTATATATATATACTATTGTCCATTTCTTTGTTTTTACAGTAAAACCCCGATTTACCGCATAGTTTTGGGGAAAGGAAACATCCGCGGTAAATCGGGGTCTGCGGTAAATCGGAGTTTTGTTTGATTTACATTATGTATGTTTAGCCCTATTTGGGGAAAGGAAATGGCCGCGGTATATCGGGGTTTGCGGTAAATCGGGGCGCGGTATATCGGGGTTTTACTGTATCATGATACTTTCATGGTTTTGATAATCCAAGACGGAATATCTTGAATTAGGGAGCGTAATTATCTGTCTCTAAAAATGAATGCCAAAATGTTTCGTCGTCCAAATAAGTCCAAATATCCCGCCCAAAGTTTTGCATCACAATTTTTGGAAACTAAGGTATTTTTGTTCGGTAACTTCTTATAAAAAGTTTGATAAAAATCAAGCTAGATTTTAACATTTGATGAAACAAGGAGACTTACCGTTGCATAATGTCACCAAGAAATGAAAATGCTTTCGACCTCGGAAAATCCTGAAATTAGTGAAGCTAAATTAACTACTAATATCTAGATATATTATACTAATAATGCTATCAGGCTTTATGAGGGGAACAAATTATAGTATAATATATTATATACCAGGAACATTATGAGATGAAGTATTCAGGCTTTCAAGCGCAAAATAAAGATGAAGATTAAATCCTTTAAATACACTTCCCCCGGGAAATGTTTAAATACACTTGTAAATCTTTAAATACACTTGTAACCCCCCCCCCCCCCCCCCCCCCCAGTACACACTTGTACTGAGTACAGCTCTGTATTGGTATTCATTCTTCAGTTTCTGACAAACGATTATTTCGTCGCTGTTTAGTATTATGCTGCCAACAATACTGATTGTTATCACCAACCTTATCTTTTGTAATTTAAGAGTAACGAAATACTTATTCGGAAAAACATACCTATTATGTTTCCCCATATACTTTATACTAAAAGTGACTACATGTAATTCTAAATTTACCTCATCGGTTATACACAGATATGTTATCATATCTGAAGCGATGTAATGAAATAGGTACTTCTCATGAGTGTATGTTAACTTCCCATCTCTGTCAACCTTTCGTAGGATCTCATTCGTTACCTGTAATTACACATATTGTATGAAATATACACGTGTAATGTACACATGTACTTGTATAATACATATTGTATAAAATATACATGTATAATGTACACACTACACAATACACATGTGTAATGTATACTGTATATAATATATATGTATACAAGTATACACTATACACGTTTATAATGTATATGATAGTACATTCTTCATCGTCTAACGCATTTCAAGAATTTATTCTCCTTAAAAGGATTTTATTGAATTAGGTAGACATATTCTAACTAACCTGGTCGAGCTACTACTATTACTAAGTTGGAACTAACCTGGTCGAGCTACTACTATTACTAGGTCGGAACTAACCTGGTCGAGCTACTACTATTACTAGGTCGGAACTAACCTGGTCGAACTACTACTATTACTAAGTCGGAACTAAACTGGTCGAACTATTACTATTGCTAAGTCGGAACTAACCTCGTCGAAGTTGCCTACATACTGAGCACATTTAGTGAGGATAGTGGTCTTCCTGGCTACAACTGCGTAGTATATTGACATCCTACACACGTCGGTATATTTAGCAATACAATTAAAATATTTCATTTGTTACATTATATGGTTACATTATAAATGCTGTTGTGCTGGCACTATGTTTTCAGAACGCTTCAAGTGGAGATCAGGTTAAGCTGTTTAAAAAAGTAAGAATATACTTTATCAGCATATTATTCAGTATATTCAGTATATTCAGTATGTTCAGTATAACGGCCAGGTAGTGTAGTTGGTTATAACGCCATCCTTGCAAATCGTGAGATTGTGAGTTCGAATCCCACTGTCTGCCTAGTCGTGGGGTGAGCGTCGTCGACGTTCAGCTAATGATCCTGAGTGGTATATGCAGCCCCCGGTCTACTCAGCCGAATACTCGAGAAATCGGGTGTGAGGGTTAAATGAGGAGCTGCACATTGCAGCAAAGTCTCGGGCGAAGAAAGTATGGTACACACTACCTTAACCGTCACTGGCCAAATAAATCCTTCGGCTTCCTGTAATTGGCTGGTTGCACTTGTGTAACAATGTGGCTGTTGGAATACACCAAAGTAAAATAAGTGTCTTGATTAAAACAATCAGTATGTTCACTGTTCAGTATATGAGGGACCACATGCAAAACTGGTATATCTGTTTTTGATAGTTTTGAGATAAATGCATTTTACTGATTTAAAGATTCTATATCATGTGTAAAAAACACTTCTAAAAAATGGTATATCTGTCTATATACCATTTTTAAAACTAGAATTGTACCAAAACTGGTATATCTCACGATATACCATTTTTTCTATACTATAAACAATAAAATAATTTAACTGAGAATGGTATATTATATCTGAAGATATACCATTTGGGCTGGCTAAAGTCTATAAAATGTGTATAGATATACCGGTTTTATTGAAGATAAGTTTCTTGAAGGTGGTCTATCTGCAGATATACCATTTTGTTTTCATGATTGTTAAAAGCTAAAATAGTATAGTGTAACATATACCAGTTTTGGAAAAATAAAATTTCACTTTTTTTCAAAAATTTCTTCAAAATTGTTCAAAAAAAATTCCAAAAATTTCACCCTGAAGACTATGAGCTACCTGCGCAAAATTGGTATATGTTCAGATATACCAGTTTTGCATGTGGTCCCTCATATTCAGTATATTCAGTATATTCAGTATGTTCAGTATGTTCAGTATGTTCAGTATATATTCAGTATATTCAGTATATTCAGTATGTTCAGTATGTTCAGTATATATTCAGTATATTCAGTATATTCAGTATGTTCAGTATGTTCAGTATGTTCAGTATGTTCAGTATATTCAGTATATTCAGTATATTCAGTAGTACTGATGTTTAGTTTGAAGAAGGCTAGAGACGTGGTAGATTGAAACTTTGAAGCTGTACAGTTTTAAAAGAAATCAGCTGACTGAACGAATTACGAAATCCATCAAAGTTTCGTTTGATAATTTCAGGGTTGCCCATCTAATATAAGTAAAATCCTCTCAGACACCAGACCTGCCATTTGAATGGTAACCAGGGTTAATGGTAACCAATAACCATTTTAAACATACATCATCAGCTTGTCTTTAAGATGATTCTGATAGAGATTAGTAAAAAAAATTTTAGTAAAACAAATTTAAATTTTGGTATTTATTAATAACAATCAAAACATATCATATCATAAAAATAAAGCCGCGCGTTGGTTGACTGCCTCAGTATGGTGAAAAATTTAAGCTTGAAGGTGCCCTGCGCATTTACAGAACATTGTGCGGCGATCACATGATCACGAGGACCTGTGAGCGCCAAATTTAATTTAAACTTTCTAGAAATCGTACATCACTACGAGTTACTCATGCTTTTGAATTATAGGAGTGCGGATTGTCATGTATTTCATTCATTCATACTTAATCGGTTTAAAGCTGTATATTTAGAGCTCACTATTGTTTGAACTATGAAAGCAGAACGTAAATAATGGACAATATACCGACGACAATACCAAGGACCCGAGTGCCGCATTGACTTTTCCGGATCCGTTTTTACCGAAGGCTTATCCACCAGTTACTCATGCTGCATGTATAGTCTGATAATATTTTGTTTTATCTCTAGCAAGCATTCTGTAAGTTGGAGTGTCGTATTTATTATAGAAGAGCCAGCCAACCTCCGCATTACAATCTTTTGTATGCCAGGTTCGTTTATAAAATCTAATCATATAATAAGATTGATCCAATAGTCTAAGATGAACGGTATATCTTAGCTCATCGTTATTAAAATCCTAATGGATGAATTAATCAAGTAATGTTCCCTTCCAACACAACTAAACAACAAACAAATGCTTGCTCGCCAGTGGTGACGCAATCGTAGGGGCATGCAGTTGGTTCAGATAACTCTCACCCCGACGACAGCGTCGAGAAATTATCAAATGATGCATTTGCGCCATACTGGACACATTTTATATTTAATATTTTGTGGTTTGTAGAAATTAGTGTCATCTAAAGTATAGCTTAACTGGCGAGCAAGCATCGTCCCACTCGGCGGGGACGAAAATACCGAGTCCAATCACAGAAAGTTAACCAAAAGATAAAAACAAGAGCTCGGATATCAACAAAAATCACACGCTCCAGACGACGGGGGAAGAGAGGATAGGAAGTAAGCTGCTGGGCTCAACAAATTTTGATAATTGTAAACAAATTTGTTCTTGTGCCCTATAATAATTTGGTATTGAGGTATGACCCTGTACTGTGCGTGATAGTGAAAATGAAAGTGAATGTGAATCTGTAATGCGAACGAAATGAGTTTTGGCAAGACGATTCTTCAATTGGGCAATTCTCATAAAAAGCGTCACAAATCACTAATAGAAATTTTTTCCTCCAATTTCTATAAAAGTTATATCATGCGTTAGCTTATAAAGATCTCTATTGGACACCATTGTAGTGTCAGCAGTTTGCAGACTTTTTAGCTGCTAAATTGACCAATCAGTGTTTAAATTGGGTGTCCGTCCGTGACGTTTTTGTCACGTCCGTGACGGGTTACGGACAGGACAAAATAAGAATTGTCACGTCCGTGACTGGTCACGGACAGGACAAAATAAGAATAGTCACGTCTGTGACTTGTCACGGACAGGACAGAATAAGAATAGTCACGTCCGTAATGCATCACGGACAGGACAATTCTTATTTTGTCCCGTCTGCACTTTTAGAGTAGCTGAAATCTAAATTTTGGCAACCTTGAACACCATTCACCTCCCTCCTACATTCCACAAATGAGTGTTATAGTTGTACCATTGTACATTGATGTGATAATTCCACTTCCTATCCGGTTACATTCCATGTTTCTATGTTTTGTTCCTCGCTTAAGCTTTTTGCACTTTTGTACCATGGATATTGTGTTATCATAGCACTTTGTGACTTGCCACCTTAGGGGTTCTGAATCTTGTGTGAGTGATAAGTCGTAAATCGTGATTGATAGGTCGTAAATTGTGAGTGATAGGTCGTAAATTGTGAGTGATAGGTCGTAAATTGTGAGTGATAGGTCGTAAATTGTGAGTGATAGGTCGCAAAATGTGAGTGATAGGTCGTAAATTGTGAGTGATAGGTCGTAAATTGTGAGTGATAGGTCGGGATACTACTCACTAATGTGGTAATGAAAGGATGTAACTTATTAGAACAACTTACCTGGTTCAGTTTACGGTTCTGGGCTGGTTTGATCTTACAACACCTTCAGCTGAGGTATTTCTTTAAATACTTATGCTAATTATACCTAAAAATCCATTATCGTGTTACCTAATAATCGACGAGAATGCATGAAAATGTTGATAAATCTTCAGTTAATTTGTATTCCCAAATGATTATTGAGGTTTTAGTATACCTGATAGAATCAATTGGAACACTCTAATTGAGGTATCAAGGAAGTTCTAATGCTTGAATTCAATTAGAAACTCTAAAAAAAGTGTCACAGACACGACAAAATAAGCCATAGTCACGTCCGTGATGCATCACAGACGTGACAGAATAAGATATTGTCACGTCTGTGACTCATTTTCAGGCGTCACGGACGCATCACGGACGTCACGGACGTGACGACACCTTTATTATTCTCCACAATTAATTTAATTGCAACAACATTTTAGGTACAAATTAATTCATATTTGTCACATAGATAAATTGGCCAAGGAGGAATATGTTAGTTCTTGTCCCATTGAAATTGGACCATAAATAACGGTACTACATAGGATAGAATCAGGCGTCACGGACAGGACAAAGTGCTGACACCTCTGAAAAAAGCCTGTTTTTTTATTAATTATTTAAATTGATAATCAGTTTTTAAGTTATTCATGTTAAAAGTGATGACACAGTAAATTTCAAACGTTTATCAATCAATTGGTGCTTGAATCAACGTTTTGTTATTTACTGAAATGAAATGATATGAGATTGAAAATTCGAGGGAGTAAATGACGCTTTTTATGAGAATTGCCCAATTTCAAAATAATAAAGTCAAAGGACTCTGTTTTAAAATACAAGCTCATTCTTATCGAAGTTTAATTCTGTCCATTCTAAATCTTCGTACCTGGACTGTATCTTGAGTAGCTCACTTTTCAGTGTTACTTTAACTAAGTTCGTTGACTTAGTAAAGCTTATCATACTGTCAATTTTTCGACAGTCGTTCCACATTTTTGTTGATTGATAAATGAAAGAGGAGGATGGGTTCGGGGTGATGAACTGGTCTGAACGTCTTTGTGATGGTGATCTGTGGAGTAAAGATAGGAGTGAGATTGGAGATTCTAATCTGACAATTTTGAACAGTTCTAATAGACATGTGTATTTGTACAGGTTGTGGACGGTAAGAAGGCCGTTCTTGTTAAACAACGGCTTTGTATGCTCTTTTTCAAAGAATTCTCTTCCTAGGATTTGTTCATCTATACAACGTGTTCTGGCACATGTTCTAAATTTATCTAGATATGCTTCAAGGTCACCAAATAGTATTCTGATACATTTTTTCTGAGTGATGAAGATAGGTTGAAGCATATTATT